AAAAATTTAAATTGTCATCATTTATTCCAGTTTTTCCAAATTCAATCCTTGATTCAAATTTCTCATAAGCTTAACTGACTTGGTCTAAAGAGAGAAGAATTAATGACTATTTTTGTTTGAAGACTACATATAAAATAGCTCCCAAAATAAATGTTGGTAACTGCAGTTTGACTAAAAGTAATGACTAAAAGTAATAACCGCACACTGATCCACTCAAGACTGCTATATTTGTTGTATTTGTAATGTTTAATCATTTTTGGACTTGTATACTTGCAATATTCTGCTACAGTATATATGTGAATGATCAGACTTTCTTGGAGTTCTACTTGTGATAATTGAGGTCTACCTGAGATAATTGAATCCAGATGATTGTCTTCAATTGCTGACCTACTGAGAAAAAGGGTGAATGTTGTTTAAGTGAGCACTGAACATAGCAATATGCTGAAACGTCTGCTTGCTCATGTCCATCTGTTTTAACTCACATGCACTTTTTGCATGATGCAATTTATAAAATAAAAAATATGTTTTTGTAGACTTTTCCAGTCTTGAGTGGATCAGTGTGCGGTTAGCCACTCTCTTGTTCATTTTCAAGTATCCCATTGGCTCTACACACCTGCAGCAAAAGGACTTATTTTTTCCTGTTGGAGCACTACAATTTTCTCAAGTTTTAAAAGTAATGACTAAAAGTTGACAAAAATGCAATGACTTTTCATCGACTAAAACTATGAAAGACTCAAATGACTAAAATGTGACTAAGACTATTAAGCATTTTCGTCTCAAGATAAAAACTAAATCAAAAATGCCTGTCAAAATTAACACTGACTGAGAACTTATCATAAAATTGCATGGAACCAAAGCATATCACTCATTTAACTGGATGACAAAGGTCTTTAACTGCTCTTTAGGTCTGTATCATTCCTCAAGCTTTTAAAGGGGTCATATGATTGTTGCTTATTAGCATGCATATTACAAGCATATTGGCTGTTTGTTAGTACTTATGAAGCACATATTAATGCCTTATTAGTTAATAAGTTAATAATTAGAATAGTGAGAATTGATCCCCAAACTAAAGTGTGACCTTAATTGTTATTATTATTATTATTATTATTGTTGTTGTTATACTGCTGGACTCATATGCAAATACTTACAGTAGCTCCACCCCCAAGATCATGGTGACTTTGTCTCCAGAGTGGTTGCTGCGGAATCTGATCTGGAACAGGTGGCTGGCAACGTTCTGCCGTGACGTCAGCATTCCCGCAGTGCCACGGACAGGAGAGAGATTCAGGTCCTCTGCCTGACATGACCCCACATATATCTGATCTCTCAGTGCGCAGTCTATAACTGTATAACTCTCCTCACTGAGAAAAGACAGACAGAGAGAGTCAGAGATTTAGATTAAATAAATATTCAAGGTTAAATCACACAATTGTACTTTCACATTTGTATTATATAAATTAAGTTATCATTTACAGAGCATGGTGCAGAATATAGGTGAACAATAAAGACGATATTTTGAGAAATGTCTTAAGTTATTATTGTTGTTGTTATTATTATTGTTATTATATGTCCTTTGACACATCTGAACATTATATTAAACTGCATTTTTGTCTATAGTAAAGCTAAAATATTTTTCTATTAAACAATGATCTGAGACCACGTTTGTCCTTTAACACTGACTGTTGACTGTTTGAATTAGCATGTTCATGTGAATGCATGTGCTATTTATAAAAGCAAATAAATGCTAGTGGTGTGGCATTACTCAGCATGTCAGTCAGTCAGTCAATTTTATTTATAGAGCACATTTAAAAACAACAGCTGTTGGCCAAAGTGCTGTACAAAATTTAAGCATATACCAAAATACAAAAGTAAACATAGAACACAGCGACAGATAGTACACAACCTCTGTAGAAGCAGGGGAGCCAAAAATTAAGACCTCAGTCTTAGACTCATTTAACTGAAGGAAGTTGACAGACATCCACTGACATGTCTTCAGCTGATAATTAACTGTGTTTGTGTAAAGATAATTGAATAAGTGGAGTCAGATCCTCCTGTTCAGTTCCTGGACAACCTCTGGGCTCTGCCCGACACAATTACAATGCCATTTACATTCCACAGGCAGAGGATAACAGATTCTACAGACAGAGAGGGACCATTGCAATTAAACTGAAGTCTGGAAGAAACACGCTGACCAAGAAAGATTCAGTGTGACAGAGAGAGACAGAGACCAACTAAAATAAGCTATTAGACCAACTAAAATAAGTCCAAATGTTGTGTGTGTGTGTATATATATATATATATATACATACATACATATATGTGCGCG